GCTGTGGGCAGGACCTAGTCTGGGAGGGGCACAGGTGCCGTGGGCAGGACCTAGTCTGGGAGGGGAACAGGTGCCGTGGGCAGGACCTGGTCCGGGGGGGGCACAGGTGCCATGGGCAGGACTGGTCCAGGGGTGCACGGGTGCCGTGGGCAGGACTGTGAGGCTACAGAGCCGCCCGAGGGAGGAGCCTGAGCTCTGGGCCACCTGAGGCTGGGTGGTCAGCTGTCCATCCACCCAGACAGGCAGGTCTGAGAAGGAGGACCCTGGAAAGCCCAAGAGGTTGCCCGGTTCCTGGCTCTGGAGCTCCAGGGAAAAGTGACCAGAAACAGAACTTGGAGAGTCGTCAGCTTACAGAGGGTGCGCCGTCAGGAGTACGAGAAGGTCACCAGCCGGGGATGAAGCAGAGAAGCACCCTCAGCAAGGAAGCCCTGAGGCGGGAGAGGTGGCCAGGGGGGAGGTCCCCGTAAGGCAACAAGTGAGGACAGACCTGTTCCACTGGGTTTATCAGCAGGTGGCTTGTCAGGTGGGAGAGGGAGAGGGGGTGCTGGAAGGGGCACACCTGCCAGGTCAGCTGGAGAAAGGGCATTGAAGGAACACTGGTGGAGGAGGGGGCTGCTGGAGGAGGCGGCTGTTGGGGGGAGGGGGTTCCTTGTTGCCGAGCAAGCTGATGGGAAGAGCTTGAGGAGGGAGGGGTTGAGGCAAAGGGGTGTAGCCCATCTGGGCAGGAACAGGCCAGGGCCTCAGCTGGGAGGGAGCCCAGCCCTCAGCTCTCCCCGTTCTGAGCGAGGACTGCAGGAGGGATCTCCCTACCAGACTCCCCAGAGCTGCAAAGGGTACCCTTCTCTGAACTGGCCCCTGCTCTCCAGGCCATACCCGGTCCGGGACGATTCTCATCCTAAGCTCCACCTACCCCCACCCCACACCCTGTCCTGGGCTCCAGGCCTCTCAACAGCCCCCACTCCACAGGGGCCCCTCCCACCAAATTCGGATGACTTCCCCTCCAGGGGGACAGAGAGACTTCACGCTGTAATACTGGCATCCACCTGTGCTCACCCCACATTGCCAGCCCTGCAGGGCTGTGCCTCTGTCCCCCTCCACACCGTCCCCAAGCAGAACCCCTGCTGGGACCACCCTGGTCTCCTACCCCTCACCCATTCACTTGACCCTGCCATCAGACTCCTGTTGTCCACAGGTTAAATTCCCAAATCCTTACTGAGACCCTGTGATCCAGGTCTCACCAGCCCCTACCCGAGGACACTGAGGAGGACAGTCCCCTTTGCCCTGACCCCTCTCACAAGCTTGACTCCAAGTGGGGCTCACACAGAAAGACATCCCCTAAACTGCCCCAGCTCCCCGGGTATCCACCTGTGTCTGTCCATCTACTATATACACGTGTTCCAGGCACCCCACCCTCAGGTGGACAGAAGCATCCTGCAGGCCCAGCCGCTCTGTCCACATGTGCCCTGGTGCAGGGACCAAGCACCAGGAGAAAGGCAGCTGTAGGACTGGAGGCCATGAGAGAGGCCCCTGGCATCCACTGGGAGCATCCAGCTGGCTCCTTCCTCATCAGGGCCAGAACTGCCTGATCTGATGCTCCATTTGTTTGTTTCCTCAGACTCTGGAAGACGGATATTCCTACCCCTCTCTCTGCTCACTGTGAAGTTGGGGGCTATTGCAGCAGACAAGGAGGAGGCCCCTACTCCTGTCTGAGCAGCAGTGTGGAGCCAGACCTGCCCCATTCCCCAGAGCCACAAGAAACAGGATGACCCATTAGCAGATGAGGAGACAGAACTCTGTGGGCTGGAACGCCTCACCACCAGCGGTCCTGTTGACGGCCATTCCCCCCGCCACAGGCCATCTCCAGGGCCTCCTCTGTCTCCTCCCCCAGCCCCAGTGAGGACACAGTTTTCAGTTAAAGATAGTGGATTGAGCATCACGTCCTCCCGCCTTAAATCCCACCAGAGTGATGAGAAAGGAACCCATAGACTAAGGACAATGACAGAGAGGACAGCAGCAACAAAACTCCAGAAACCGGATACACGGAGTGGGCTTGGCAGAGCAGAGAGGACTCAAGTGCAAAGCCCAGGAGCAGCGAGTTTACCACCCAGTACCTCTGACATGGTCTTTATTCGTGGCCGACATGATGGAAAAAGAGGAAACTCATGGAATCTACGATAAAGCTTATTATTCAAAAATCAATTGTATTTCTATATACCAGTGACAAACAATAGGAAATTAAAATATCTTTCAGATACCATTTCCACTAGTATCAAAAAAACATAAAATAGCTAAGTGTAGATCTTACAAAAATGTGCAAGAACTGTACTCTCAAAACTACAAAATATTGCTTAGAACATTAAAGAAGACCTAAAGAAATGGAGATGTAAACCATGTTAACTGGTTGAAACACTCAAAAATGTTAGGGTGACAATTCTCCCCAAATTGATCTATAGATTCAATGCGCTCTCAATCAGAAGCTAAGCAGGTTTCTCTTAGAGATTACCAAACTGATTCTAAAGTTTATATGGGAAGCAAAGGACCTAGAATTTTCAAAACAAGTTGAAAAAGAGCCACAGATTTGGAAAACTAATACTATCTGATTTCAAGTTTTATTATAAAGCTACAGTGGTAAGACACTGTAGTATTGCCATCAAGAGAGACAAATAGATCAGCAGATCAGAATAGAGAGACTAAGAAATGGAGCCACACATACAAAGACAACTTATTTTTTTAACTTGTTTTACTTCTTATTTTTTTAAATTTGCATCCAAATTAGTTAGCATAGAGTGCAACAATGATTTCGGGAGTAGATTCCTTAGTGTCCCTTACCCATTTAGCCCATCCCCCCTCCCACAACCCCTCCCATAACCCTCAGTTAGTTCTCCATATTTATGAGTCTCTTCTGTTTTGTCCCCCCACCCCGCCATGTTTATAGCCACACTATCAACAATAGCCAAAGTATGGAAAGAATCCAAATGTCCATTGATGGATAAATGGATAAAGAAGATGTGGTTTATATATACAATGGAGTATTACTTGGCAATCAAAAAGAATGAAATCTTGCCATTTGCAACTACGTGGAT